CTAGTGTTGTGTGCCCCTTCGAGCAGCATTCATGAAAACCATTCACACTTCACACTGTCGTTATCACCCCCTTCGCCCTTGTGATGGGAATTGTTTATGGTTTAAAATTGTGATGAAAGTCCATCCAACAGGAAATAGAACCAATCCGTTTTCCACAAGGTTGTAATGTACTCCAATGTCGTATTTATAGATTACATTGAATGGAGCAAGAACCGCCTATAGATACAAGTGGCTCGACCTCGTTGTCGCAACTTGGACTTGCTGTCAGGGCGACTTAGTAGAACGCACCTAGTCCGGAGTCGTCTGACATAGTTGTCATAACTCCCAGCATCAGACAGTGAACTTGGTACATTTTCAAGCGTTTAGCTGGCATCGTATTCGGCATCATCAATGAGTACTGCCATTCCCGCACTAAGCTACGAACGCATCAGAGACAAGTGAAGTAAACCCTTCCACCAACGTTCTGCCGAAAACTATCATTCCTTTTTCTGACCTGGCCTATCTATCTACCCTTTACCCTCTTGTCAAACTCCCGCCCTATCACAACTTCCACTCGTCAAAATGTGTGCCCTATTGTAGCAAATCTAGTGTGGCCTCATCACGCTTGCCATTCACCCCGATCGACTACTCCCAATCGGGCCTCTAATCCGAATCCACCTCATGATTCCGTAGATCCGTTCATAATCTTTCTGGTTGACCGATTTCACTCGCTTCCAGTCCCAGAGTGGATTTCACTCAAGGCGCTATTTATCAAGGAAAGTACATTGCCGCCTCAGCGAGCAGAGAGCCTAGGCTCTGATTCCCATGCTTGCAGATCTCGGGCATTGCCTTCACGGGTCGTCTCCTTGATTAAACCTGTGTAACCTGAGCAAACTGGTCGCATGCTGAATCTCAAGTAGATTTCTAGTACATCTTGGACATAACGTCGAATTTCCGTGACAGCTTGCTTATCCGTCTGTCTAGCTCCCTAACTGCCCGGCCCCCAAAGTTGAACTGATTTGTTCGAAAAGGACATCACTTACTGACAACGTCTTCACTTGAATGCCGAAAATCCCTGCCCCTCAATTTACTCATCACGATCCCTTTTCCCCCCGTTAGCGGTAGATCCTTGATCCAGGCGTCTCCTTTTTGCTGGCCTTGCTCTATTCTTTTTTTTCCGAGTTTGATTAGGCATTAGGCAAAGTTATCGCTAACTCTACCTTCCTCCAATCTCCTGTTCATTAGATTTTTCTCCCC